ATCCTTACCTGCCTCTCCAGTGGCGGGGAGGGGAGAGCAAGCAGCTGGCGGGCAGAGCGGTCCTGGAGGTGGGGGGGGCTGGTGCTTCCCTCCGTGGCAGCGGTGCCCCCCCCCTCCAGGCAGCACCTGCCCACTGGCCCACAACTCTGGCAGTCCCATGGGGAATCACAGCCAGGGAGGAAAGCACTGGGCCCCCGTGCAGCTCAGGTAGGCAGGCAGGTTTGCGGGGGGGGGGGGCGGAAATAAGGCTCGCTGCTTTTTTTTTTTCCCCTTCTGTGGGACCTGCCTTCCCGGGCTGCTGCTGGGCTGCCTGCACAGTCTGCCTGCAGAGCCCCTGAGCTTCACCGAGCCCAGTGCTTCCCTCCACAGCTGTAGTGTAGGAAACTAAAATGCCTTGGAAGTGTTTTACTTTGCAGCACCCCAAAGTCATTTGCTGTGTCATTTAAGGCGCATTACACCATTGAATGTGCTACAGTGGCTGGAATTAACATGCAGTACACCACTGAAGGTGCGAACAGCAATGGCATTAAAGTGGTGCAAAAGGCATTTAATTGCTTTAAACCCACTTTAAAATGTTGTCTACAAATGCCATAAATTTTAAGAAATGTGTAGAGAAAAGTGAGAAGAATTAAGGAAGTGGAGTTTCAACACATGCTAATGCTCATAATAATAGCTCTTCACTTATTTTTAGTTTGATTTTCACATTTTCCAGTTTCATTCTCCAACGCAGCTCTATATATTAAGCTTTAAGTCACGAGGTGATGTGAATCTACTTATTGTAATAGTCCAAAGCCTTTGTACAGTAAATTCTGATAAATTCGCTGCTCCAAGAGAATGCAAGTAAAACTGAATTTTCCAGTAGCGACTAATTTCTCAGGAATTGATAATCAGGGTAGGGATAGTGCTGCCAGGGAATTGGAACAGCAGCAAATTAAAATATAGTGCTGAATTATCTCTGAGGCAGATTAACCAGGTACTGACCTTGGAGGAGCACGCAAAAATAGCAGCAGCTGCACTGAGGCCCAGCCAACCCCATATCACTGGCATTGCAGCCACTGGTGCTGCCTCGTGTGCAGCTATTACCCTGAGCATCAAACATCCAGTTGATCCTCTGCAAAGAGCTTTCATGGCTAGGAGAAACTTACTTTGGAGAGGGGAGAGGGGGTTGCGGGGGTTATATAAGTTTTCAAAACAAATAACCACATACGAAATAATACGGATGCAATGATCTTGTAGCCATGATTGTCAGTCTTGTGCTTGAAAGCTTGTCTAACATCTCTCCTAACTATTTGATCGGGTCAACAAAAGGTACTGTAAAACAAACTTTGCGTATAAGGTATAAAATTAACATATAAGCTAAAGACCTCAGTTTTTACCTTCAAACAATTCAGGTTTCCTTCCAGAGACATAGGGAAATGCTGACCGTTCATGCTTCTCCTCTGTCAGCAAAAGAGTTAAACACTGAGTCTGAGAGAAATCATAATACTGACATGGAAAAAACCTGGAAACTGCTTGGCTTATCACATCTGTATGTGTAAACTCTCTTTGAAGCTGTTGTGTTAAGTGTCTTGTATTATTACACATCAGAGTTTTATAGTGCTTTAGATAATTTTAATAGCTAACTAACAGCTAAAAGCTGAGCCATAGTCATTCTGGGGAAAGTAGAAAACAGGAAACAATATTTGAATTGAATCCCCCATTCCAAGGTCTCAGTCCTGGCTCTTTTATGGAGGAGTTGGAAGAGAAAAAGGCCGTCTGGCAGTGCGCCACCTTATGAGGTGGGGAAAGGATCCCGTGGCTAAATTTGTTTTAAAGATGCAGTCAGCACTTTTAACAGTACAACCAATATCATCTACAAACAGTAATAAATCATGGTCTCGTTATGGTAGTTAGACCAGCATATTTTTTTCTGGGAAAAATGTACTCAGAGTAGATTTTTTCTCCAGGTTCCATCAAAATGTTCTAGGCTTCCAATAAAATGTATCTGGTTTCATTGCCAAAGCCAAGCATCTAACATTATTAAGTTTTTCAATGGAAACCTACATTTTTAAAAAGATTTTTGTGAAAAGGTACTTTTGTATCAAAAAGGTTTTGACCAAAATCTTTTGTTTTCCTTCCCATTTGGATAAGATGGTTCAGATAGGGATAATCCGGCCCTGAGCAGGGTTTTGGACAAGTTGACCTCTCGAGATCCCTTCCAGCCCTATTTTTCTATGATGATATATGAAATTGTCCTAATCACTTCATTCTCTCCTCACACGCATGTCTCTCATAGTCGATCCTTTTTGTGTCCATATCTGGACTTGTCTATTTCTCTCTCTCTAAATATAGACGTGAGGATTAGATCTGAACACGTTTTACCAGGTCAGGATGTTCCTTTGATTTTATCAAACAGCATCCTGATTGCTCAGTATGGATTGCTCTATACATCTAATATCTTATTTGATTGTTTCTTTGCAAGAGGAATCCAGGTCCCATTTCTTGTGTGCTTGTAATGCATCTACAACCCAACAAGCTGTATGATTCATTCAAATGATTTCTTTTAATATGCATTGCTTTACACCTGTCAGCACATTGCCAGGAAACCAAGAGAAAGCACTCTGGAGTTTTCCACATTCTAGTCTAGTGTGGATTAACATAAATGATCTTGTGTCATCTGCAAATGTGATTTGTCATAAGAACACTGTAACCTTCTTTAAACCCTTGCATATCAGCCTTTCCTTTTCCTATGGTTCCTCTCCAATTCATATATTGGGAAAACTACTGAACTATGTAGCTGAATTCTTTTTTCCTGGTGAATTCCAGTGAGGAGTTGCATCAGTTTGAACTATTTTCTCTTGGTCTAGCTGATGTTCTACCCTTCCTTTGAAAAGACTTTATATCCCTACAATAGTCATAATAATGTTGTGGTAGAAGCTTCTTAATTTTTGGTATTTAATGAGTTAGCTGATGACAATAAAACATTACTTTTCATTTTATGCAGTATCAGGTCACTGATCATTATTTGTGACTCAAAACTGGGGCCATACTGCAGCCATCATTATTTAGGACATCAATAAACACTCAAGCAAGTTGTAATAACTGATTGAGCACAACAATTTTCTCGTATTTTCATGGTCTGATTTGTAGTCCCCCTTCCAGTCCCCCCAATAGCCTAACAAACAAGGGGCAATATGTAAGCAAAGGTTTGTATAATGTGTTAGGTGACAACATGATCCAATTCATTTGGGAAAACTGGCTGTCTGCCTTGCCATTACAAGTACTACTGCAGTTTTTCAAAGTGCATTATGTTTATGTCATTAGGTTTATTCACATGGGAGGAAAGAAAATTAAATTATGAGATGAAAGATTATAGAATATAATTACTGTTCTGTCAAAGGATGACTCAGTAGCATACATATATTTTGATGATCATAAATGCAAGATATTCAGAAGACAGATAGGTGTTAGTCATCAGATATTCTACTGTATACCTGAGAACTTAATTTGCATTTATACTTTATACTATACCCACTTTAATTCCTTTCTGCTGCCAGAATGATCTAGGAAAAGGAGGAAAAATGAAAATTATACCCCAAATATGTTCCACATATGTTTTTATGCATAATATGTTATGAACTGGTCAACAAATTACAGATTGTATACCATCTTTTACTAACACATGCACAAGCTTTTAATTTTGCCATAAATCCTATAGCAGTGTTTTTCTATCGAAGCTTCTTTGTGGGAACAAGTTACACTTAACAAAAGTCCCAGGCTCCATCTCCCTGATTTCTCCTACAATAGCAAACTCATTTACAAATCCCTGACCATTGGTACTGGTTGGCAGAACCAAGGAAACTGCATACTACGATTGTCAAGTTTTACACTAGAAGTAAGAATTGGGTTATGTTCTGAAGATTATACCACGCCCTCTCCAAATTACAAGTACTTATTCTGAATATAGTAGAAATTTCTGAGACTGCTTGAATACATTTCATAATTAGTTTGAGTTTCGTTTGTGAAAGGAAGGGGGTGGGCCATTTTGCATCTTAGCCCTTCTCATGAACAAATAACTGTTTAAACATCTTATGGACTTATAGCTCAAGTCCTCTATATATAGGTCCTTTATGTATAGGTGCCTCCTCTCTCTCCCCCACTGCTGATTAGCTAAGAGGCAAAAACCATGGCAAAAATAAAAGAGCAGAAAGCGTGCTGCTCGCCATGGGACACCACTGTGCTTTCGGTAGTTGTGGAAAAATGTGGATTCTGTGGTTTTCTGCAGCTTTGAGGCGAACAGAAAGCTAGGTTCCCTAGTAATGGCCAAAGAACCAGCATTGCAGTAAACCGACCGCAGCCTCCCTGCCCCTCTTCAAAGCTTCTCTGTGTGTAGCGTATGCACCTGCTGTTGCCTTGTGGCCCAAGGATGACGGTTCCCCTTTCTGAGATACCTCCTGCCCACCTGGGATAGCAGGGTGCCAAGTCTAAGATTTTGTGAATATTCTGTGCTTTGAACTGCTTTAGATAGTTATTCTAGTATCACTATAAATCTGGGTTCCCTTCCTCCTGCTTTAAATCAGCTTGGCTTCATTTATCTCAAGGAAATACATTAGATGAAATACATTAGATGAAAATCCAGCCCTTTGTCTTAAATACTACAGTATGTCTAAAGGAAAACCTTATTTAGTACCCAATGATTCTTCTCTCCTACTTCACTGGGTCAGCTTTGCTTTTTAAGGCACTGAACAGCTGCTAAATTTTAATAAATAAAGTGCCTTTTTTTATATTTGATGTAGTTGCATTTAAAAAAAAAAAGTACTTGCCTAGAAAACTCACCAAATAGCCTAACTGTTATCTCCTCTGGTGAACTAAAACTGATTTTTCCCAGTGACTTATTGGACTGGATTTCCTAGTATCTAAACATTTCTCTGTCTTAACAACTTTGAATAGCTGAGAGGACCGCTTTAAGCTGGTGTTACCAGTACTTTGAATAGAGAAAAGGAGCTAAGGATTATTTTGTGTTATGTTTTTTTCTTGTTGCTTGCTTCTTGTCTTGTTTGCCATTCATGGTTGCTATGTCTGTGTTTTCTCTCCTGTAGCAAGATAGTAGAATTTGATTTTTACAGTGTGCATAGCGTTCAGGTTTAAAGTAAACACATTTTTCTTTCCCTTTAAAAGTTGCTTTTTAT